GGTTCCCCATAAGGCCTATAGGTTCTCTATAGGACACAAAAGGGTTCTGTATAGGATCCGTAGGTTTCCCTATAAAACCTCTAGGATTCTCTATAGGACCTGTAGGGTTCCCTATTGTGCCTATACGGAAACCTATAGGACCTAGAGGGTTCCCTATAGGTCTTATGCGGAATCCTATAGGCCTATAGGGTTCGGTTTGAAGTTCTCCTCTGGGCCACTAGATGGAAGTATTGGGTTGTCACATTTCTCAAAGGGCACAAAACTGCCCTCCCCTTACCCAAGGAATCATCTCTCACAAGAGAGTTTTGTACGTCCCCAAATGTCTCGCCTTGCCTCATTGTAGCAATCAATAAACTTCGACAGTTCCTTATTTGTCATCCCCATCTTCCAGATATAATCATGGAGTCCCGTGAAGAAATATGCCCTTATTCCTTCTGAAAACCAGGTACGAAACTGAGTAGACTCTGTCCAAAAGGAGATTCAGGAAGGAGACGTTCTCGCAGGTTCTGTCTTCCATTCCCTTAGGTCGTGAGAGGAATACTGCTTCTTCCTACCGAAGGAAGTAGACGTGCAATCCAGCGACACATGTGCGGCAGGGCCATTGATTTATGCAGACCCCCGTATTACTGGTATTAATAATGCATGGATTCCTACCATGGAAAAACCCCTAATCGGTTTTTGATTTACATCGAAATGCTGCGCCATTATTAACCACGGTCGCCTTTTGCGTCGTAAATCGAGGATGCTCTGGAGCGAGAGGTCGTCGTTGTCGACGAAGTCGAGCAGGTCGACTACGCACAAGCGCATCTCTAACGCCTCGAGGCGCAAAAGGGGAGGGAAGGAACGCAAACGAAAAAAAAAATCCCAGATTGAATGGGATCGGGAGAGGTTTTCGGTTTGAAGTTTCATGGTTTCGAGTGAAGAAGATGGAAGTTACCTTTTGGAGAACGTCAGGAAAGATTTCCAGGATGCATTCAGAGGAAATGTAGATCGAAACAGCATAGGCAAAGATTGTGAAACAGGCAATTGTGGACCACCCTGTATATTCGACCTCGACACGCAACGATCACAAAAATGCCTGTTCGTCTTGGACGCAAACCTTCAACATTCCAAGGAGAAGAAAAAGAAAACCACCGAAAGAATTCGTAACATCTGAAGGAAGGGAAACACGGACCCTGCCAGTCCTCGCGCAGCACTTTGTCCTCTGCGCTTCGCTTCTCCCTCGACCGATCTCGCCACGTCCGATCGAGTGAGTCCGGAGTCCTGTTCCAGTCGTTCGCCGTAAAATCACCTCGCTACAAAACTCCGAATTCGATTAAATTTGAAACAATATATTATGACGTAGAGAGATGATCGAAATATTTTAATTTTAAGTCAGTTAGATCTGAGGATAACGGGTAATTAAAAAAAAATTGTTTATCAACCAATTGCACACTCGACCCACAATCCGGTGATAAATTCTCTACTAATCTATCTAGGTGCTTTATAGCCATTTTAAGGGTCTGTTCCTGGCCCGTGCAGTGGTAACACTATATTTGATATCATCACAAAATATAATTCGTTGTTATGAAATTGATGCATGTCGACGACAGCAAGCAAAAATACGTCCTCCGGAATTTCCATTAAATTTTGCACATAATTGAAAAAAAACTTCCGAAACACCTGTACGAAAATTCTTCTTGATATATTATCAACTTTTCGAGATTCGGACTTTCTCCCTAATCAGCTGATCATCGCCCGAAGGCTCGGTATCATTGTCAATGCCCAAGGATGAGTCGGTCTATTTAAATTATTCATTGCGTTCTAAATTGGCTCATGGGAAATGGAAAGGCATGTCGTGAAAATCTCTCCACAAAAGCCACGGAATAAAATAATTCTGCTCATAAGAAATATGTAGTTATGTGTAGTTAAATGGACGCGCCTTCGGCGACTTAAGGAAGTTACTAATGCATTTCAATTTAAGGCATCCGTTTTCGATGCTCGCCCATGGTGATGCGGACGAACCCTTTTTGCTCATGCTTTTTGCAACTCCCACACCTTTGGGACTGGCACCTTTAAAAAAAGGGATCTTGGGACGTATTCGTAGTGAGGCCATGGGACTTGCAGCATGAGGGTTACCAAGTAACAATTGGCAGTGCGGTATTTAGTGTTCCATTGGAGAATTCAATTCCTGCCTTGAGTCGACGCACTTTTGGTCTCCAAAAAATAGAAGTGAGAAATAATGGCCACATGAACCACATAAGCCACGTGAGAGGTTTAACGCAATGACTCTCTATGGACTATGTTCACTGTTCTTTCATTATCTTCATATCTATACTAGCTCCATTACCTTGCGCTCCGTTACCTTGGATAGTGATTAATTCATTTATCCTTTGCGAAAAGGCAAAGACGTGTTTAAAGTACGTCCCCATTGAAATACGTGGCATATGGGACGAAAGTCTTGATTTTTTAATCAAAATCAGTACTTCTATGATTTCTTATGTGCCTAACTTGAAATTTTAAAAGTTGTTGTCGCATACCCCGTTTTGCTCCAACCGTGGGGCAAAACGGGGTACGCTTCCAAATATTGTTTTGCAAATGTTTTTTTTTAATAATACTTTGATTGGTCACAGAACTGAAACATCAATGAAATGACTACAAATATCGGACTAATAATTTTCCAAATGTTTTCCCGGGTCTTCAGTTATACCTATTTACGAAGTTCACGGAACAGAGACCGCAACAAAACATCCACAAATTACAAACAGATCCTTTCTCTCTTTTCCCCAAGTTTTCGTTCTTGCTTAAAACGGTCAAAGAACAGAAACAGCATTGTAGCATATGCATTTTCCCCATATTTTCATTAAGAGCACATTTACTAATGCCACAGAACGGAAACAAAAATGAAAGTTTCATGGCAAAACATTTTCAAACCTGTTTCGATTTGCTTGCTATCCATGTATTCATCATGGATGAAAAACTTGCAAAAGTCACGGAAAAACGCATCCTCATCCGTGTTGTCATCGATGTTATGAGCCGACTTCTGGTGACCCAACATCATTTGATTTTGAGCGAGATAAAGAATCTGAACAGTAACGCGTTAGCCTGAGTTTCACCTTTCTAATTAATATTTACCATCGGCACCAACCAAAATAGTTGACTTCCTGTAATAGTTCACATTTCCAACACAAAATATGAACGCCTCCAATCTTCCCATGTTACTTTATTTCGCTTATGAAAAACTCGAAACAAAAGTCGATGTTTTTTTTCTTTTGCCCACTAGGGTGTTTACAAACTGCTACATAGAGCGCCACCGTCCCTGGAAACGTTCACCCGTCGTAGGCGGCTATAAAAGGGTAAATTTCCGATAGATATCGGGTATGGTTTGGTTAAAATCAGAGTTGCCCGGTTTTGCCCCTCTCCCCATTTTGCCCCACCTTCCCCTATATCGAGATAAATCCTGTGGTACAGGGGCCAGTGGAATTGTAGGTCCGTACCTGTATCGTTCCTAATGAGAATGAATTAATCCCAGCTAATATTTGTTTTTGTGGGGGAAACAAAAGGAGCACTTCATAACCTTGGTTCATTCTTTTATCGGCTGATCATTTCATCTTCATAAATTGATGCGGCAATGTAAACGTTCAATGTTGGTATTTTCTTTTTCCCGAGGGTTCCTTTGTCCAATTGAAACAGCTGCAGAATTGATTATTTATCATGAATATTGAACATTGATCATTATTTGTGACGATTATGTTGATGATTATTCATCATCAACATTTCTTGTTCGTATCAAACTTGCCTCACCTCATTCATATCAATAGGCAATCGTTTTACAGTACCTAATCAAGATCGTGCTAATACCTTACCATGGAAAAAAAGCCTTGAAGACTTCTTTCCCGTGTAAGGAATCGCCACGAACCGTGCACAGCTTCCCCCATTACCCCCATCCGGAGCCGCCCCTCTACAAGCGAACGCTGAATATACTATCTCCATGAGCGAGTGAGAGAGAACTTTTCCTTCTGAAGTCCCTCCACGAATCTGGAGATAATTCCCTCGTCTGAACGATTTCTCGTTGACTCCCCCCCCCCCTCTTTCCTACTCCTATCTCTTGGATAGGAGTAGGGAGGGAGTAGAAACATTGAGGTATTTCTGAGTTTTGTAAGTATCGTAATATGTCCTCCGCCTACGTAGGATTAATTGCTCACATGTTAACTAAAACGACGTTTCAGAACGCCAATCCCTTAACATCGATTCCATGTTGATTCGATGTTGAAAAGAGCAATATTGCGAGAACGCTGTCCCGTCAACGTCACATCAACAGCCGTGTCCTCCTGCTTAACTCATTGAACGACCCTCGTATTGTTGTGTGAGAAACAAATGCTTCTCGTCTTCTTGTTAGGAGCATTTTCCATTTTAAATTGCCGATCGGCGCGTAGACATCGTTCCTTTCGGACTTCGCATCGTACTTTTGAAACCACGCAGATGCACCGAGACGTTGAGAAATGCAAGGACGCATGGAGATATGTGAAGGACATGATAATTCCCAAGTACCAATCCGTGGACATTCGGAACCGGATCTCTTTTCAAGGGCATATTTCCGCCCTTGACATTCGTATTTCCGAGAATCCATTGAAGCGAACGGGAAGGCGGAGAGATCAGAAGATGCCGGGAGGCTGCGGCCTGTTTGTCTTATTGTTTTTGTCTAGAAGTTCGGACCGGCGGGGTCCGGATTTGCGAGGATTCACTGGATTTTAAATTTCGAAATCACTTAGGCATCTGCAACCGTTTCATTTCCGCGAAATCAAGAAAATCAGCCTTAACTACCCCATGACAGTAAAATGCACAGGGTGTCCAAATAGTTCAAGGCCATCAAGGTCATCGATCATACCACTGCGGAATTTTCGACTGATTTTAAAGTCCACGATTTAGAGCGACCGTCCTGCGAACTTAATGGAGCTCAAGGAATGGTTTTCTCCCTCTCGTCCAGCTTCGAAGATGGAAGAGCCTTCTGAAGAAAAAAAATGGGTTCACATTTTTTTCTTTCAGGACTAAGAAACGACGATGCCATTCGCCCTCGAACTCATCCTGCAGACGATGCATTTCCTGCAGAACTTCACAATCGTAAGGTGCCAAGATCTGTCCTTCGAGTCTGTCGTCGTGCAGGTAACGTTCCCCAAATGAAGGTATTTTTTTATATTGTTGTGAAACAATATGTTTTATGCATGATGCATTTTGAATTCTCTTAAATATGTACAGCAGTTTTATTTCAGTGAAATCTCATTTCCTGTCGTGTGTATTTCCTGTCGTGTCCCTCCCCCTAATAATATTTCGTGTCCTCTCCCGCAGGTAGGGAGCGATCCGGTAAATAAAGTTTGTGCATACGCGCCAACATTTTTGAGCAAAAAGCACATAAATTGCTTGAAGGCCAGTCCTTTCTGGCCGGCATTTTATTGCTTTCCTCAGGCCAGATGATACTCTTGCATCCTTAGAGTAAGTTGCATACGACTTGTATTTCATGCAGCCTAGGTATGAGAAATGCGAGGGCGAAGGAGAGCGGGGCCTGGCAAAGGTACGCACCAACATGGAAAGGAAGGACTGGACTCTTGAAAAGGGTTACCGCGAGGACGGAATCACCACGAAATTTACATATGATCATGAGACGAACGCATACATCTTCTTTGGAGAGGTCATATCTTTTTCACTTACGTTTAACACACCGATGCCGACCAATCAGAATGTAATCATGAGCATTGTTGGAGTTCATAATGGCCCACACAATGGCCCAATTTAATATTCAGCGCTACCACTGCAGCTCACGCAGTTAGGCTCGACACCTAGTGATTAACATAGGTCCAAGTTGCGGACTCAGGCCTAGTTCATCATTTAACGCATATTCAGCTGGGGGAAATTTTTTTGAAGAACATTTGGAATCTGGATCCCCTGTTTATAATTCGAAAGATTCTGAACGCAAGCAGAAAATTTTCATTAAAATTCGATCAGGAACAACAACTTGAAGGGCTGAGTTGCTTAAGTCATTTCAACTCGGTATCCCATTATTCCATAACCTAGTGGAACCATATTATAATTTTTTTTGTCAAATTCCGTTTTGATTGCTATTACATTAAAATGTTTAAGCACCGTTGTCTACCCCATCTACTGCCATAAATTTACTGAGTAGACTTACCAAAGTTTTCGTGGTGCATTGTAAAAATTTTGCAAAGCGATTGACTTGAAGACGCTTTATCTTGGCGCCCAATTTAACTTATTCTGACTGCTCATTTTTTGAACAAGAACTTAATGCTTGAATCAAGGAAAGAGCAGCTCATCGAATCGCGTATTTCCCATGAAACCCATATCAAAAACCAAAGCCCTGTCGCACAAAAAATTGAAACCACAACCAACGTTGAACGCTGATAACACGTTCAACGTTGGTTTAGTGCCTATTCCATGCTTTTCTTTCATCTGCTAATGGAAATAGAATCATTGTTATAGCAAATAAGATCTCAGTACTAACACGCCTAATCGTACGCCTCGAATAACAAAATATATATTCTAGTTTCATCGATTTCAACTTTTTTCGTAAACCACACATAATTGTGTCAATCGAAAGACTCCGACCGTTATCGGTCGACCCAAGTTCTTTCATTATCGTAATGCTTGTATGATTCCGTCTTTTTGAGATGCTCATAACTTCTTGGAAAAAGGTTCTCTCTTGGAAAACAGTTCGATCCAGCTGGTTAATACGTACCCATAGATGTTATCGAGATGGTCCGCAACAATAAAACATCATCATGCAAATTCTTGAGTTACTCATATTTTTCTATTCGGCCTACGCACGTTTGATATTTGTTGACAAAAAATTTTGTCCACATACTGGAACCAGGTGAAAAATCAACGCATATCCAATTAGACAGCTTTTGTTAGAAAAGTTTATTTTAAATTTTTTATTTTAGGGTATGGCCATCAAACTATGATAGCCGGCCACCCATTGAAACCAAGCAAGCGGTTTCTCGGTTACCCCAGCGACCGTAATGCAAATTTCAGCAAGAAATTTTCATTCACCTGTCCACAAACTGGTGCCTTTACCCTATCTTGTGTACATTATTTCTGCTAATGCGACGTTTCCATGCGTCACACATATCTGTTTAGTATCAAAGTAGTCTCCAGCGCCTGGAACATCAACAAAATCCCGAGAAATTGAGCGTGCTATTCTGTGATTTTTGCAGACTTCCTCCTTTTTGTCCGCCTCTCCATTCGCGTTGTTTCAACTCCTTCCATACAAACAATATACTGGGGGGGGAGGGGGGAGCCATTCTCAGTGATATCGAAGTCAGGCACGTAGCCAGGAATTACTTTCGGCTCTTTCAGGCTCATGAGATAACGAAGTGGCCCAGGAGTGTGAGTGGTTGGGATGAATGAGGAAAACTATGAAAGCCCTTTTGTTACTTCAGCCCCACCAACTTCGTCGTTCAAATAGCCCCTTCCCTTTCCAAAATTTACAATGTTTTTGCTCGAAAAGAGATATTGATCAAGGACTGACCTTTAATAAGCCGGAATTCAGTGGGCTGCTCCTGAATCATGATTGAATCATATCATTGAATTCAGACTGCGTTTTCCCAATTAATATAAATTGAATGAAGGATTTTCCTCCCGTAAATTAAAAGCACTTAAATCGCTAAACAAACTTTAAGGCAATTTAAAATTTTTTTTCAAACTTTTAGGAAAATATCCACTCATGACTCGAGGAATGTACCTTCGAAAATTAACGCAGCAAAAGGGTTAAATAATAATTTTTTTTTGGATTCTAGTCATCGTCTCGGCCTGATGTTAGTCTTAGTCCAGTGTCTTGCAAAACGTAAAAACGATTAAAACATTTTGAGGAAGCGTTAGTTGGTTGCTGCTGAAAGGTTTATTAGAATGCATGGAAATGAATTCTGCCTTCTATGAAGAATGCGGGAAGAGAAGGACGAGTCGTCTCCAATCGAAAACTCGAGGGTCGCTTTGGCACGTGGAAGATCTGAAAAAGAGCGAAAGGCGGAATCGTGCATCGATGGAGACGAGGGAATCTCGCAAGGGGGGCCGAGGATGCGAGCGGTGCCGAGGTCGACTCTAAAATTATCGACCGAATGAATTACTTAGCCGCATTAATATTAAAAAAAAAAACTGAATGCTGGAAACCGGAAAAGCACTCGATGGGCATTTCTGCGTTTCGTTTCGAGTTTTAAGTGGATGCCAGGGAATCCCCACCTCGCCCGGTCAATAGAAGCCACCACGTCCGCGTCCACGTCCGCGTCCACTTTCGCGTCCACCCCCGAAGCCGCCACCGCCGCCACCCCCGGGGCGGTCCCCGCGTTCGGAGCACTTGCCACGAGAGGCCTTCTCTGCCACCTTTCCTTCCCAGCACGAGAACAGTGCCGTCACCTGGGCAACCGTGCAGAGCGGTGTGAGGGCAATAGCATCGACGAAAACTTCAATTTAAATAAATCGAAGAGGAAATATGTAATCATGGAATGGAAAATGCGAGAAAGACGAGTTCGAAGTGACGCTTGCCTTCGCCGCCATGTCACCCGACTCGGCATCGGCTTCTTCCACGCACTCGGTCATGGCTGTCGTAAACTGAAGGAACCGCACGTTTTCGCCTGTCATACTTCCCTACGATTTTTTCTATCTTTTTTTAAATTATTTTCATGGAAGGGAATGACTCACGGCGTCGGAGGCGGTGTGGAAATCCAGAATGTTCTCGAGGGAGATCGTGCCGTTCTCGAGGAAGCCCAGCCGGTCGAGGATGCACTCGCGAACCTCCTCTTCCTGGTCGAGAAAGGAAAAATCCGGGATTCCACGAGGAGGGATGAACCCTCGATTTGGAAGGGCAGACCCAAAGGCAGGAATGGGAAGGGAATCCGAGGACTCGTGGGATCGTATGTTCCCGGAATGATTTAATCAATGTCATCGTTTGAGGCTAAGACGAAAACCGGCCGATTCGAAGGGAAAATGTTTCCTCACCTTTGCGAGAACGTCGGAGAAATTGTTTTCGATGCACTCG